GTTGCATAGTATGGAAAACTTTAGATACCAGTGTTAGACATATCCCAATCTTAGCTAGTTACTATTTTGATAGGTATTTTTATGTGTTCATAATATTTTGTCTTTATGTATGAAAGCAGACATTTTCATATTCCCAGAATGTAACATGTCTTCCCTACAGAATAATATATTTTAACTGTAGGAATTCCATTGTTTGTGAAGAAGAGTATGGATTATTTTTCTTAAAACTTTGAAAAAAGCGCACAATACAATTATATTAATGGATGTTTAATGTTGCTGTTATTCATGTTCTGTGTAATCACATTACCTGAAATTTTGTCAGTTGTTTGGTTGTTCAGTAATGAAATGTTATATTCTAATTGTTCTTTAAAAATGGTATGCAGTTTTAACAAACTTAAATGTGTTGAATACATTACAGATTCATTGTCAGGTCTGCAAAATTTAACTTCATACTATGGGCAGAATTTCATTCAGTGGATAAGCATCACATTTCTTATATAAATACTACTTACTGCCATTTAAATATTAACCTTTTGTTCATATCAGTGCTAGAATAGAAATGATGATTACAAGCAATATTCTACAGTTGAATGCCTCAAGTTCAGCATAATCCAAGAAGAATGACTACACATACCAGTGCTCTTCCCACATGACCCCTGCTAGTTCGTTTTGATTTGTAGCTTGTAGTTATTTCCACTTCATTAGATTGCCCTTATGATACAGTTTAAAGCCAGTGGTAAATTAAGTAAGAGAATGATAAGTTTTGTCATCATATGACTTTGTATTGTATAAACTAATGTATCAGCATGGAAGATAATTTTCTATAAGGTCCCATTTTGAGAGAAAATTGGATGATTTATACTTTCAGTAATATAACCAGTAATTTATCATACTATTACACAAGTTCTTTCTAAGATTGACTGCTTATTCTTAAAACAATAGCTGTCTCTTTGTCTTTAACATCATTAAAAACATCCAGGTAATTTGATAATATTAGTGTGAATTTGGAAAAAATAGATATGAGAAAGAAACTAAGCCTCATCATTTTTGTGTTGCATCATATGTATAGTCCAGTTTTTCGTGTGTCCTGCCAGCATGTCCATAATATGGGAGTTTAAATCACCTTTTCCTGTATGATAAAGATTAATTTTCATTAAAAAAAATTGACTTAATCTGAGGAATCATCATCATCAGTGGCTCTACAACCCTGTGTGGGTCTTGGCCACCTCTACAGAGGTTTCTCGGTCTTTTTAAGTGTTATTCTGAGGAATACAGAATATCAAAACAAAGAGTGCAAATTATATTCAACAAAATTTCTTATAGCTTACATGCACCATAAGAAAAAAATATTCCTGAATGCCACAAAGTTACTTTGGGGCATATGGTGTAATTCACTATGCACTAATATGTGTTTGGTATGGTGTACTCTATAATTGAATTAAGTGTAGAAAACCATTCTAACTGTTTTTTTAAGAAAATTACCACTTTTTTAATTCTTGAGTTATATTTATATATATTGTTCATATCTCCAGGACATAACCCATTCATACTCAGCATGAAGAAAGCCACTGAACCATTAAAGCACGAGAGGAATACACAGACAAACGGATTCCTGTCACTTCATTTCTTATTTTGGGGAGACTGAAAACATATATTCCCCTTAAAATGTGAAAGAAAATTTGTTCATGACTATGGTACTTTTCCTATATTATAGTAGGAGCAAAAATGGATAAATAATTTTCCCTACTTTTCTGCACTGGGTCCGACGTAGAATAACTACTACACTTTTATCATAATATCTTAGAACAAGGATTGTTTCCTGTGTGATAGATGAAGTGCTTTAGGTAGTTCCTGCTGGTTTTTAGAGTATTATGATTCTAACAGGTTAACCTTGAAATTTACATTACTGTGTACAATCTGATATGTCAGACAGAAAAAAATACCTACTGCAGGTAATGTACCTGCTTTACATAGTCGTTACAAATTACATGAATCCAATGAATAATATGCAACTAAAACATGCAATGTATGTCCTCTGAAAGTATACATGAACAGAACACCTGTTTCCTTTCTGTGGATCTTCCATGGTGTAAACATTAGATTAAGAGCATGTTATAAATCCTGAATATACATGATGATGGGAAACAGTTTTATGCAGCTGCATTTTCTTCAGTGCATTATGTAATGTAAAGTTTTGCTGAAACCCATGACTTAATTTAATTAAAAGGATACATGGATAGATAAGAATATGTGAAATTATTGACAGAAGACATGTTTAATATTTGGTTTTTATACTTAAGTATGTTTTTTCTAGTCAGAAGCAAGTAACAGAGCCTAGTCATTTTGTGAAATAATGTTTTATTAGAGTATACTTGGAACTGCACATGAATGCAGTGTATTTAGTTAATACAAGTTCCTGAATTCATATTTTTATATACATTTAGTTCATTGTTCTAAGTTGATACTTTCAGCATTGCACTTAAAGCAAAATACAATTTACTGCATTTTGCTTTCACACAAGCTACCAGCTCATGGCTGGGTTCTGACAGACTGTGAATATTCACAACGATGACTCTAGTCAATAACTTATTTCTTTTACTATCTTCATTGGTTTGGTTCTCTCTTTACTTAAGAGAAAACACCTTCTTGGAGATGCTACTGTGGCTGTAGTGGCATAACTGTAACATAGATAAGAACCTCTTAGCTCCAAATATTCTATTTGTCATATGTACCTAAGAAATCACACATTTTTGACTACAAAAGAACTAGTTTTGAATCAACTGGCCTTTTAATTCATCAAGATGTTGCCAAATTTGATATGGACAACTCATCATTCCCTCTACATACTTTTAACACTGATATTTATAAAATATTAAATAATATTTGACCAAGTCTCATAATAAAGACCAATAATTACATAGATGGGTGGTGCACATTTTTATTAAAACTCTTTGTTAGAAGAGAGATAGGGACTTTCCTCTGTACATGTACATAGTATTTGTATACACAAAACAGTGTGATAAATGAAATGGAACAAATGTATCCTGTACTGTAATCTAGGACTAGAAATTGAATAGAGTGTATCAAAACATTATGTGAAGTGAAAATGCGGTGTACTTTATGTTGAAACATGGGAGTGGCCATGTATTTCCAGTTGTTGTTGTTTTGTTTGTTTTTTTGTGGCGCGTACTACAGTTGATTTTCTTCTTCTTTATAAAATATGCCACATTGAAACAAGTGATAGCAAAGTGTTTTGGAAGAGGTGTATCAAAGACAATCGTAAAGTAAAGGTAAACTATGTATAAACAGTTCCCTTGATTGATGTCAAGGCAAGTGAGTACAGTATTTTGACAGCTAAAAGATAAGAGACAAGCATTTACGTTCAAGAAGTGAACTTTATGTGTTCTAAAACCTTACCTTACCTTACCTTACCTTACCTTACCTTACCTTACCTTACCTTACCTTACCTTACCTTACCTTACCTTACCTTACCTTACCTTACCTTACCTTACCTTACCTTACCTTGTTCTCAAAGCACAAAATCCAGAAATTTTCTCCTTAAATATAAAAGTGTAAAGTTTTGTGTTTGTGGTGTGTCCAGGCAAGCATTCAGCTTGTTCAGTGCAGAACAGATGCTGACAATGTTTTTCTTCACCATTAAATGTGTGCAGTGCGATAACTTATTTGTTTTTGCCACCATCATGAAAATTGTCTTAATTTTCCTGTGTGCTAAAATTATTATTTTCAGATCAATTGTCATTTATGAAAGTGGTGGTTGATAAATTGTGCATTATTTCTTGGTTTATTTGTAAAAAATGTGAACTAGATAATAATATACAGACAGTCAGAATCATACATGCGTTACTTATTCTGCCTTCAATATCTGATGTGTGACACATGACCATTATATTACAAACAGTTATCTCAGATTTAATTTTAGGAAGAATGAAGATATTGATAAATTTAAGACAAAACTATAATAATAAATATGCTCATACCAATAATGCATTGAATGAAAATTTATTCTTCGTTCATAATTTAATTGAGTCTTTCCATTTATTATCAGAAACAATTTTATGGGCTATATTCTATTATGGAGCTGTGAATATAGTAAAGGCCATAATACATTTAAAGTACAATGCTGGATTTACTTTATACATATTCTACTTTTTCAGTTCCTAAAAGCTTCATTCAGAAATGTTAATTTCCACTTTTCATTCATAAGTCCAGTATGCAGTACTTTTAGCAGGACATATGAGGCACAATACACTTTTTCAGCACAGCTCAAAATTATATCCTATATAAAAATCATAGTACTGAAAGGAATCCTGATTCTTTGTAGTTATGTGGGATTATTCAAATGAATTTACCCTCTGCCCCCAGTCCCTTTATATAATTATGTTATAATACAGCAATAGTGCAAATTACAGTCACACTAGAGTTTTTGGCATGTATTTTCTGTTGACTGTAATCTTCACCATAATGATGGTAAGTGTTTTAAGTTTACAGGTAACAAAACAGTTTATGTCTTGTCTTCCATCCACAAACACCACACAATTCTGAGGATTTCACAAACCATTCCATAAATTTTACCTTGAAACTTTCATAAAATATTGCATTTAAACTTTTTCTTTATGTATTTCTGTTTTATATTAATTATTAATAAGTATGGGTATAACTAAGCAACTAACTAGAAGCTTCATCACCGAATTAACCAAAGCCCTCAACCAGTCCCTGTCCTGGGCCAGCAAAATCCTGTTGCAATAAGGAGTATGGGTATAGGTGTGTTGAAATTGGTAGTTTTTCTTATTGTCATGTTGCTTCTTTTACCATTACAAATTTTCACATTTTACATAAAGTTACAGTTTTATTGCTCTAAGGGATTTTATTTTAAAGACAAGTTTAAGGCCCTTCTTGTGAAATAGTCTACATAACAGGTTTCATTATGTATTTATTTAGTTCATTTCATCTCAGTAGATAGGACCATAAAACTACTTATCACAATAATAATAATTGCATAATAGCCCCAATTTTTTCATTCTAACAGGTTTTATCATTTAAAAACAGGGAACTATCATTGGTGTCGTGGTTATCATTTTGTTTGAATAATCTGTTACCTCATAATTATAGTAAATTAGTAATATTACAAATAAGTGTGTTCATTCCTTTCCTATATTGAGGTATAGCAGTTAAATAAGTTTATATGTATAGTCAGTGCTAAAGTGAAATGGAAGTGGTATGGTTTCTGCATTGCACCATGAAAAATTTGGAATGACTTTCCTTTTGCCACAATTTAGTGACTTGGTTTAAAAGTCTTACTTTCTGTCACATTGTGGTAACATCATGCAGTATTTTAGTATCTAAATTAGTGACATTTACAACCCTTCTGGTCTTTTGATATACCAGTACATCCGTACTTGTCACGAGATTAATGGTCTGGAGTTAATATAGTCAGAAAGCATTAAAACCCAATAGAATAATTTTAAAACTGGTGAAGAAGCAACATTATTGGTTCCAAAATATCTCACCCATTTCAAATACTATTTATAATGGAGCCTTGGGCTGTGGACTGCTCTGGGATTCATTTAGCTTTATATGCAGTGGATCCTCAAACCCTCTTCCCTGTGCTAAAGCAGTAGAAATATAAGGCTGACAATTCACCTCTATGTAGTTTCCAGGTAAATAATGTAAGGAGCTTTGTCTCCATTTCCTTCATATACCATTTTTATGTGATGCTTTGGCATCGGGGTAATTTTGCTTTTATCCTCATTTTTTGCTTACAGTGAAAATTACTAATACCATCAGAACTTCATGAGTGTGCCATAGAAACACAAAGAACTATAAAAACTGCTGAATGTGTTTCTTCATTTTCATATTGTATTTTCAAATACAGTGCATTTTGTTATTTATATAAAAAATGTAGACATATGCTACTATTTAATTATTTAATTTCAATAACACATTGTATGCAAAGTAACTGATCTAACTGGATGTGATTCCTCCCAAACAGGTAAATCCTAGTTAAAAAATATTGATTTTTCATTCACATATCACCTAGTCTCTGGTATTCATTATTACATATTTTTAAAGGCTATATAATAAATGTATAATATTCTTAATAATCATGGAAGAGGCTCCACATAATATATGTTTTAAATTATCATGTGAAGTTGAACATAGCACCCATATATCTGTATGTGTCCTGCAAGAACATGGTAACTTCCAAATTCTGACTGCTGTGTATTGTTGATCTATCAGCTGAGGTCAGAACCAACTTTCACCATAACTGAATGGCTGCCTGTTATCTTTGTACGTCTTGAGATTTATCAACAACCTCTTGAAACTATGATTTATTATTTTACATGAAGGATTCATAATAATATTTTTAATTTGAGTTATTCAAATACAGGATAATAAAATTTATAAGTGAACCACAAATTATGTTGTTCTAAAATTAATATAAAAGGAAATATGAAACTGTATTTTTTGTCATTGGTTATAATGATATAACATTTTAATTACATTTCAGTTTCATTATCAAAATATATTTTAACATTTTTAATATGAAAAATTGTTCATGAAAACAAAGTGCTGTGTTAGAATTTTGGTATTCCTTCTGTGTGCATTGTGTTATGAAATATTGCTGTTGAACATGAGGTATCTGGTTCACAACTTTATTATGTTGGCTGTATTTCATGACAGATACATATATAATATCATGCAGTCATTGATTCCTTGCTGCCTTCTGTGCATGTCTCAAGGAATCTAGAGTTTACATGTCTTTGGTACAGAAGCTATCTTAAATTCCCTTCTTTGCATTAGTCCATGAGTATTGTGAATATTTTTCTTGGTCTCTTTTGTCACATTTACTGTGAGGGTTTTATTAAATAAAAGTTAAAACATTTCCTCTCTAGCTTGTTGATGCAAGTCATAGATGTTAATATAAGTATAAGTTCTTTTTGCATAAAATAGTATTGTTTTGAATTACAGAAATGGAGACAAATTACAAATTAACGTTTCAGATGTGTTGATAAGGAGCACCAGATAAGATGATTAGTAAAAGAAACTTTATTATTGTGTTCATTAATGAAGTGCACATATTGCCACTACCGTTAAATTGTATGTCACTTTTGTGCATCTTCAGGTTGATCAATAACAGCAACTTGAATTAACTACATAGCACTGTGAGGTACGTCTCTCAGGTTGTAAACTACTTTATTGCAATTTATGAAGGGAAATAGGGCCTTTACTCATTTCTGTCCATAGCACATGCATGTGCGCGTGCACGCACACACAAATATGCTTTGCATCAAGTGATCAAAGATACAGTAAAATGGCAAGATGAAATAAAATACTTTTATGGCACATCAATCACATTGAATGCATGCAAAATAGAAGACAATGAGATGACTACACAATTTGTGTTGCTTTAAAACACTGTCACATCATATAAGGCTTCCACATTATTGAGATACTTTGTTTATAGTACCTTATTCTTTTCTTGCTTGGATGTGAAAGAAATGGATTACACGTGAGTAGTTTTATTCATTATAAGCTATGCCAGTTTCTGTAGTAATGTCAGTGCAAAATTATGTGAATATAAATTATGTATCATCAGTTACCATGCTTCTTGCATAACCATTCTTTGTTGGGTACTCTAGTAAGACATTACCACAGCCTAATTTATATATTAGACAAACTGAAAATATTGTATTGCTCTCCTTAGGAAATTATAAGAATGATCATGTATGATCATAGCATTTATATATTAAGAAGTGCTTGCCAAGAAAAGAATATATTAAATTCCATGAGCTTATCCTTTGAAAGGTTGTTGAGTCTGCTGATTTATTATTGTACTAATGTACACTGTTCTTGTCTGCAGATTCAGTAGATTTTTCTACAGAGACTTTGTGAGTGACAAT